CTGAACCCTTGGCACTCGAGGAACAAGAGCAGAGACGATTTGTCCTATAGCAGCCAGACTGCTCACTGAGTTCACACATAGTCCAGAATTTCTGTCTCCATTTCATTTTCACTCCCATCAGAAGGCTTGAAGTCCTCTTCCTCCTCCTCTTCGTCATCCTCCTCCTCCTCTGCAGACTCATATGCCAGCTGCTCTTTGCCATCTTCACTGCTTGTTGTATTTGAGAAAAGAGCTTAATTGGGAAGACAGACAGACAGAAAGACACTGTGATGCCTCTCTCAGTGAAACCTGGGGGCATTTGCAGTAGAGTTCATAAAACATGCGAGGGGAAGGCAGAAGCTGGAGGGGCACAGCTAATGTTGCACATCTTAACAGAATCTGATCAAGCCCAAAGCAATCTGTTTTTGTACTCCAGGAACGCTAGCAGAACAGCAGCGGATCTGCAGAGCTGTCCCTCCTCTCCTAGCTGATTTTGACCTAATTCACTGGGATACTGCTTTGGCCCGGCATCATGCAAAAATAATCTCCTCACTTCTTGTTCAATTAATAACATCAATAAAAAGTAAAATGCCACCAACGGATCCATCAGTAAGAATAAGTTCTTGATTATCACTGTGCAAAGACATGTAAAACCTAAAGGCGTGATACTGGGAAGATGAAACAGAAGACCTTTACTCCCAGCGACCCCTAATCCCAACCCACATTCATGCTGCAGGACAACAGCCCCACCTGTCACACTGTAACAAGCTAGAACACAAAAGAACACCAGATGTAGCACAAAGGAGGAGGCAAATGCAGGAACGCTACTGCCCCAATGCTGACTGCAACATCCTTATTTAGCCCACAACATCTCAGCACCATCAGGAAGGTAGTAATACACTTTGATGTTCAGATGCATCCTTACCAGGTCTTGTGGATCTGATTATCTGCTTTATCATCAAAGACATGGTATCGCGCAGATCATCACTAGTCTTTGGAAGGCACCACCCATCCCTCTCTGTGCATTCTGACTCTGTGCCATCATTCCGATGTATGATTTTCTGTAGGCTAAAAAAGCAGCAAAAGGGAAGGAAATGTTAGCCTTCTACATTCAGATATGGGCTTCAAATGAGACAGACTATGGCTTATTTTCATTTTACTTCATTCCGTTGGAATAGCATATTTGGTTATTGAGGTAATTGTCATATGGGAACGGAAGTTCATGTGTGAAAAGTCCATTTTATTTTTATTCAGAAGCTAAACACTTCTGAGGTTTCTGGTCAAGGAGAGAGAGAGTAATGGACTGGATATAAACAATAGGCTTTGAAATCTAGCTCTAAGAGATGACTCAGCTGCCAGTGTGCTGACCGTACCAGTGTGCATACCTTTCCACATTTAAGTCACAGAGCTGGTAGAACATCTGCCGGTAAGGGGGTAAGGCTCCTTCTCGGAAAATGTAGATGGATTCCTAAGAGGAGGAAAGAAGGAAAAGATTAATGTGCGTTTTATGGTGTAACAGGACAACTCTGGCATAACTGAAAAGTACTTCCGATGGGCTGATTCAAGAACAAGGCGTTTCCAACACAAATCAGTTCGAAGGCGTAAGTCTGCATATAACAAAAGATAAAGCTGAATGAAGAATGCAGCAAAATTTCACTGCAGCCACAGTTGCAACAGCACAGCTGTACGGAGAACACACTTCATCTCTTCAAACTGCAGCTCTGTCCGCGGCCTGTTACTGCATAACAGTGGATCATAGGTTTCATTCTAGCAAAAAGGGAAGAATAAAAGACTGCTGTTTAAATATTTTGCCCTGCTGGATTTTGCATGATGACCTGATAAACACATAGTGATTTTTTTTGCACGTCACTGCCCATGAAGTTCCAATTTTATCAATTGAAACAAAATGCTCATCACATCTAAGACTAGAGCTGGAAGTACCAATCCCATCTTGCAGTATGTAAGAAATACATTCAGTACACAGCAAGTGAAGTTCTGTAGTGACATGTACAACTAGCAGCTTCCCAGGTAAACCTGAGGACATCAGCTCACTCACAACTGTCCCCTTAATGACTGACAGAACAGGAAACACCCCTTTTTCACTAAGCTATTTCAAGATTCTGGTAAAAGAGAGTAATTCTTACCTTCAGTTTATATGCGTTGGAGGCAGGCTTTTTTGCACCGGATGCACCGGCTATACCAAGCCCCTGTTTCAGATCATGTACACTCACTGTATGACTTGCTGAAAGACAGAAAAAAAAAAAAAAAAGAGTCCTCATTAGGGACATCTTTTACTCTGTGGCATTGTACTGTCACTTCTCTGTGTTGATTAAACTTTGCTGGCCAGCAAAAACCAGACCAACCCAGCAACTGAGCATGTGTTGCTCATTGTTCAGAGATGTTACTGACAGTCACAGGAAAGGTCATGAGTTTGGTGTTTTTTTCCACAGCGCATTTGTTCATAATTTTAACCTTTTCTACTCTGACAAAGAAAAGAGAACAACTCTCCCCTTACTCTGCGCCATCTCTGAACAGAAGTGAATGCTGAATTCCCACAGTGTTGCTTGCAAGACTCTCTTCTGTCTGCTAATAGATGCCGTGGCTCAGCCAGACATGGATCCAAGACCCTCACACCACTTCCCAGCAGGAGACTCTTCTACTGGCTTAACAGTAGCACCATATTATAACTAGAAATAAAGCTCCAATTTTGGCTCAGCTAGAACACAGGAAGACTCTTCACCACCTGTGACCAGGACAGGGTAAACAAAGAAACAGAAGAGCCAGCCAGCCATTCTGCTGGCACAGCATACCTGGCTTCTTGACAGTGATGGGCAGACTGTAGTTATACATGCTGCGTTTTGCTTTCACGGGCATGTCATTAGGGGCATAACCTAGAGGTGAAAAAAGAAAACCAATAATGAACTGAGGGCAATCACCCTGCAGAATATCCCTAGCTCGATAACAGAAGTGCTGGACTGGGCTGTGAAAGGCAGGCTGGTCTTTGGGATACGCTGACTTTAGCAAGGTGGGGAGAGGACAAGTACCCACTCAACAAAACCCTTTCACTTGGAAAGAGGGAGATGTGGTCTGACGGTAATGCCTGGATGCCAGCTCTGTCATGGACTTATTAGATGACCTCAGAAAGTCCTTTCCCTCAATTTGCCCTTTGCAAAATCAGAGCGGGGGAACCCCGTGTCCCAAAGGCTGAGACCTACCGTCCTGCACAAGATGTTGAGGTCCTTGAGGAAAAGCTACTATGTAAGCAACAGAATCTACTACTCAGTGCCTCCCCTGAGCGAGAGGGAAGACGGTCTGCTACATCCACTTGGGCTTTGAACAGCCAGCTGTCCATTGAGTGTAGAATGTGCCAAATGAGGAAAGACATATTGCATACTATGAAATAAAGCATTAAAGGAGTTTACAGAAGAATTACGGTAATCAATGAGCTCAAAAAGGTGTCATCTTCATTAGAGCAGAAATATGGCACAAGAGTTTGAAAAACAAGTAAAAAGAAAAGTACTACCAGGATTAACCAGAAAGCAGAGAGATCGTCTCTGTGGGTTGGGCCCTTTTACCATATTTCATTCCACAGCGAATTCGGAAGTCCAGTACTTGATAAATCTTTGCTTCAGGGTGTTTTCTGGGGTCATACCCAAATCTAACCCATAAGCTTCTCCAAGGACCTGTTAACTGCATAAACACACATGGAAGATGGTTACAGAAAAACAGTACAGCATTGCACAGGTTCTTAGAAAATTCTAATCTTTCCCCTATTGCCCAAAGATTATTTCTTTTACCAGCTCTTTCCCAACTTGCCACACCAGTATTTATATATGGAAACTTGGGCAATCAATGCATCGAAGCACAAACATTTGTGTGCTTTTACAAACTGACTTGCAAGGTCATAATAAAGCATTTCTTTGGAAAAATTCTGCTACAATTGCCAGACAGACAGTCAATTTTAGTGCCTGACTGAACTGCAAAGCCAATTAGAACCAACTTAGCAGTTACTGAATCATCCCTGGCTTTAACTTCTGTTCAAAAGCAAGGCTTTCCCTCGCTCTTTCTCTTTACATAACATTAAGCTCAAGTACTTAGTGGTGGGACCTCAGGAACAGTAAAGGACTGGGAACACCCAGCTGATGCTCCCCTGCTGTGCCTCTTAGCAACCTCAGACAAGCACAAGGGCAGATGTACAGACTTACCATGTAATAGGCCAAATACGGCAAGAGAAGTTTCAGCTTGTCTGGGTGGACACTGATATTGGCTTTTACTGCATTCCGAGACCAGACAGGACGGACTTCAAAGAGCTAAAATAATACAGAAACTATCATGAAACAGTGGGAAGGGGGTTACCAATGGCAGTTCAGCTTTCCAAATGGACTTCTTCTGTATTGGGGTCTTTGGCCCTTAGTATGAGCTCTCAGAAGAGTAATGTAAGAACTAGCAGCACAAAAAGGAACTTAATGTGAGTTGGCTGCAAAGACAGATTCAAAGCTTGACTTACATAATTGAACTGAACACAGCAGTCTCAGTAGCGTCTACTGACACTTGCTGTATTAATCAGCTACAATTACCAAGAATTTTTGGGGAAATCAGAGAAAATGGCTGCATGCATTTTTTTCTACACAGCATGCTGCAGTATAGTGCTTAGTTCAGGAATAAGGCACGCACCTTTCTCAGCTCTTCCTCCACCTTTTTATCCACAGGATTGGTGCACACTTTCTTCCAGGTCTGTACAGCAGCATCCAGTGGTTTAGCTGGGATTTCTTCGTCATCAAAGTTCACAAAGATAGCATTGTGTGGGCGACGGGCCCTGCTAAGGCCAATCAGGTTCTCATCAGACACCTGGGGATTGTTGTATCCCTCCCTAAGAAACAGAGAAAGGATGGCGTTTGCTTTCTGCCTGTGGCACTCATGGACTTGAGGCCTTCACGGGAACATGCAAAAATGAAATGTGTGCTCCAGATTTCAGAAGAGAAGGGACTGAGCTGGGTGAGCAATGGGTTCGTTTGTCTTTGGCCCCACCTCCCTATCATGTACTGGTAACCATAAAAGAATCTTGTGGCACCACTGAGGAATGAAAATTTAAATTTAACCCCCCACCCCGGCAAAGCTATATCCAGTTGCACAATGACAGAGGTCCTCTGCACTGTCTGGCAGAAAACCCTCAGGCAGTTGGCTACTGAGTCGTATGAAATGTATCTGCAGCACAAAAGGCTTCACCCTCTGCATTTGCTCTACTGTAGTTACTGCAGCTCAGTAGGGTTCAGGGACAAGCAAGATGGAAATGCAGCTACTAATTCAATCTAGAAGTAAGATTTTTTTTTTAAAAAATGTGCTGATGAAGGACTACAGTGAGAAAATGAAAGATGTTTCTTGTGGGAGATCTCACAGGTTGTTCTTCTGGCAAAACCAACCGAGGGCCAGGAGGGAACAGGTCCAGTGAGCACGGTCACAGGAACATTTGGCACCAACTCCTGCATGCTCCCCCCCTCAGCTCCAGCCCACTGGAAGCAGGCAGAAAGCCGGGCTCACCGCATCCCATGCTGCATGTAGCATGCTAGGGGAAGCAGTCATCTTTACCAGACCACCAGGTCCCCTCACCTGCCAAGTCCTCAAGCAGACTTTTGCTGAGGTTTCTGCTGTCCAGGCAGTTTCTCAAGCATGCCTGCCTCTGTTGTGCCAAGTCAAGAGGGATAAAACAAAACAAGGCAGCAGCTTAAACAGGTTAAACACTGAATGATGTATTTAGTGCTGCTCTCGTGCTTCAAGAGCAGAGATCCTATAATAACACTGAAGTCAGAATGAATTAGAGGCATCTTCCAGTGACACAAAAGGAAATCTTAACTTGAAGACTTGTCTGTTAGAAGTATATATCAAACCAGCAAAATGTTTCACTACCTGTCCTTTCCAGAATCAGCACAGCTATTTACTACGTTATGAGAAAAAGCACTAACCGGTGTTGTATATCTGGCCGATAAAAATAGTCAACAGGAGTGTCCAGACGTGAGAAAATTGGTGGTGGGATGTAAAGAGGTAATTCTCTATTGAAAAAATCTTCCTTCTCTGGTTTGAGCATTAGGACTTTGTCATACATGGAGGTTTGTTTGCCATCAGGACCAGAGTGCATTGCCAGGTACTGGAAATCAGACATTCCTGTGAGAAACAAAAGTTAAAACGTGAAGTTCATTGTGATTATAACAATATTTCTCACAACACTCAACTTTCAGGAGCAAAAGTCTGATAAGTTTATGCAAAGGTTTATACAGCAAGGAGGCGGTAACAACAGGACACTTGATTTTCCTTCCAGTCCTGTATTGTTTATAGGGAAACACTTCCCTTTCCCATCAGACATACTTGTCTTTAAGCCATGTGGACACAAATCCAAGTATTACCTTGAAATTTGTAAACGGTGGTGACAGTCCCAAGAATTTCCATTTCAAACTGGACTTCTGGCTGCATTTGTTCTTCAGTGTCCAACTGCTTCCTCTTCTTGGTCCTCCTCTTCACTTTGAGCAGCATGGTGGAGGTGGGGAAGCGATTGGCACATACGGGATGGCAGTAAGGGTCCTTGGGACGGAAATACAGCTCCAGCCTTTTGGCAGGATCCGCATAGATCTGTCAGCAGGGGCAGGCACAGTCTCTGTTAGCATTGCAGCTGCACAGCCTGTCTCCCTGGCACTCTGTTTGGTGCCAGCCCCCGGCCCCACCCCTTCAACCACGGGCACCAGCCGTTTCCCCTCACACCACCTCAGGGATATCAATCCCCACTCCACCAACACCACCAGCACATCAGGCTGAAGCGCAGCTGCTCCCATCCCGCCCAACACCTCCCGTCTCCGCTCTGGAGGACAGCAGCGGCCCAGGCGAGCGGCGTCACCCCAAAACCACGCGTGGAGCCTGCGTGGGGACATATTGCGCCTGAACGGCCGGGACAGAGGGGATCCCACAGCGG